CAAAGCCTCCCTGGCGCTCCCCCGCCAGCTTGGGCACTGTCCACCTGGCTCAGGCACCCCCCTGCCCTTGCCCCTGCCCCAAGCGCTCCGTCTTCAGGCTGCAGCTCCCCCCCCCCTCAGAGCCAGCACTCCTGGGACAGCAGAGGTCCCTGCCCTGCTCCTGCCCTGCTCCTGCCTGGGACTGAGGCTGGGGCCTGGCCCTGGGCACGGGCTGCCCCAGGCCCCAGCGTGGTTCTGCTGTGGCAGGAGCAGTGGGGGACAGCTCTGGACGCCTGCAAGCGCCCGGGTGGGCCCTTGATACTGCTGGGACCAGGCTCCTCCGAGGCCCATCCAGCAGGGCATCCCCAGTGTCCCCTGGGCCCAGCCCCGGTGTCGGGGCCCGGCAGCATCCAACATTTCACCTCCCACCCCCTGTCTGGGCTGAACAGCAGCTCAGGGCCAAATTCCTGGTGCAACCTCCTGCAGAGCCTCCCTAGGCTCTTTGGCCCATCTCTCCCCCCCCACCTAATTAGTGTCAGGCTGAGCCATCAGCTTCCCTTGGCAGTACAAAGGCAGCTGCCTGAGGCGGGCGCTGGGGGCAAAGGTCCCGTGAGCACAGAGCTATCAGCGCCACACAGGAGGCGCTGAGATGAGACATACCCGCAGCGCCAGCCCTGTCCCCCGCCCACGTCGCCCACAGCCCAACCCCAGGGCAGGCTGGCACATGGCTGGTGGGGGCTCATGTGACTGGGCACGTGTGGAGGCACCTGGAGGCACAGGGCACAGCTTAGGGCCAGGCCAGGCAGGCAGGGGATGGGGGCACAGGCCTGGGGGCTTCACCACTGCTACCTGCTACCCACAGGGAGCCTGGGCACTGACACAGAGGAGCGTCTTGTCGAACACCTCCTGGACCCGTCCCGCTACAACAAGCTGATCCGCCCGGCCACCAATGGCTCTGAGCTGGTGACTGTGCAGCTCATGGTGTCGCTGGCCCAACTTATTAGTGTGGTGAGTTTGCCAGGTCTGCACCATGCACCCTCTCCTCTCTCAGCCTCTGCCTAAGTTCCAGGGGGTGCCAGGATGGGCCAGGGGGCCCCAGTGAGCTCTGGGCTGTGCTCAGATCCTTCCACCACCCATGTGGGGGCACAAGGCCCTGCTGTGGCCTGCACACCTCCGCTTGTGGCATTGCTTGTCCATGCTGATGGAACAAACCCTCAGGGCCCTGGGCCCACCAGGGCAGAGGGGGCTTCTCCCCTCTTGTTGACCCCCTCGCTGGAGCTGCTGGGTGCCCTGGGCCCCCTGGCTGCTGCTTACCACTGCCTCATCTGTCCACAGCATGAGCGGGAGCAGATCATGACAACCAATGTGTGGCTGACGCAGGTGAGAACCCGATGCCTCCCCTGGGCCCTGCCCTGGTTACACAGGGTAGGGGCAGGCTGCCACCTCAGCGCTCCAGCTTGCAAGCTCCTGGGCACCGGGTTGGCAATGGCTGGTTCCACAGGCCGAGGCCCCAGTAGCCCTGGGCTGGGAGCAGGTGGACTGTGGTTGGAGGGATGATGCCTCTGCAGCCCCTCCTGCAGCAGCGTGGCCCTGGGGCTGGGGGTGGTCTGGGCAGGGAGCACGGTGCAGACTGGGCAGGGGTCGGGCAGGGCTGAGCCGCACTGCACTGCACCCCTCTTGCCAGGAGTGGGAGGACTACCGCCTCACCTGGAACCCCGAGGATTTTGACAACATGAAGAAGGTGCGGCTGCCCTCCAAGCACATCTGGCTGCCTGATGTCGTCCTCTACAACAAGTAGGTCCCCCTTCTCTGCCCCCCATCCCCCACAGGCTGAGCCCTGGCCCTGGAGGTGGGTTCCAGGGTAGGCCAGCACCTGTTCCCCTGCTCTCACCTGCCCCACAGCTCAGCACACAGGAGAGCCGGGCCCCTGGGGCCTTGCCAGATGTCCTTGGAAAGCCTCCACTGCAAGCATGGGGATGCAGCACTAAGCCCTCCCCCCCCCGGTGTCAGGGAGGGGGACAGCAGGGCCAGCCCAGCCTGATGGGTCTCCCACCACCCCTAGTGCTGACGGGATGTACGAGGTGTCCTTCTACTCCAACGCGGTGGTGTCCCATGATGGCAGCATCTTTTGGCTGCCGCCGGCTATCTACAAGAGCGCCTGCAAGATCGAGGTGAAGCACTTCCCCTTCGACCAGCAGAACTGCACCATGAAGTTCCGGTCGTGGACCTATGACCGCACAGAGATCGACCTGGTGCTCAAGAGTGACGTAGCAAGCCTGGACGACTTCACGCCCAGCGGCGAGTGGGACATCGTGGCGCTGCCGGGCCGGCGGAATGAGAACCCTGAGGACTCCACCTATGTGGATATCACCTACGACTTCATCATCCGCCGCAAGCCACTCTTCTACACCATCAATCTCATCATCCCCTGCGTCCTCATCACCTCCCTGGCCATCCTGGTCTTCTACCTGCCCTCCGACTGTGGTGAGAAGATGACACTGTGTATCTCGGTGCTGCTGGCCCTCACTGTCTTCCTGCTGCTCATCTCCAAGATCGTGCCACCCACATCGCTGGATGTGCCACTGGTGGGCAAGTACCTCATGTTCACCATGGTGTTGGTGACCTTCTCCATTGTCACCAGCGTGTGCGTGCTCAATGTGCACCACCGCTCACCCACCACACACACCATGCCACCCTGGGTCAAGGTAGTCTTTCTGGACAAGCTGCCCGCCCTGCTCTTCATGAAGCAGCCGCGCCAGAACTCCCCCCGCCAGCGGCTGCGCCAGCGCCGGCAGCCGCAGGAGCAAGCCACTGGTGGCAGCTTCTTCCTGCGCCGGGGTGCCCGTGCCGGCACTTGCTACGTCAACCCAGCGGCCGCCAAACCGCTCGGAGCAGGAGGCGATGGGGCCAATGGGTTCCGGGGGACGGGGCCAGGGCCGGGGCCAGGGCCAGCCCAGTGTTCCTGTGGCCTAGAGGAGGCAGTGGATGGGGTGCGCTTCATCGCTGACCACATGCGGAGTGAGGATGATGACCAGAGCGTGAGTTGGGGGCGGTGGTACATGGTGCTGCATGTGTGTGAGTACATGCAGGCATGGGGAGGGGTGGGGGGTTGTGTGCATGCATGGGTGCCAGGCTGTCTACATGAAAGGACTTGCACTGGCATGCATGTCACCTGTGTGTAAGTGCTTGGCAGAGCGGTGGTAGCAGGTAGAGGCACATGCATGTTGCTGCCTGGACTGGAAGAGACCAGGGCTGTGGAGCAAACCAGAAGCCTGTGCCCCTCGTTGGGGGTTGCTCCCAGCTAGGGTGGGGCTGCTGGAGCCCTGCAGGCCCCAAAGACCCTGGGGCAGGCCCAGGCAGGGAGGGAGGACCAGGCTGTGTTCCCCTGGCAGCGGGAACCCTGTGCCAGCTGATGCCCTCAGCGTGGAGCCTGGGCTTGCTGCCAGCACACAGGGGCTCCCAGAGCGGCAGCGCCGCAGAAATCCCCGCCTGCCTGCACTCAGCATCCGCCTGCACTGCGGCCTCACGAGACCTTCACCCCGTCCTGTGTCGCTCCATTGCTTTCTGCCAAGTTTTAAGCGGTTGCTATAGTGACCGGAAAGTCTTATCCGAGCACGTCATCTCACTTCGAAGCTGCAGTTTTCACCCAGGGGTGGAGGAGGCTCTGGGGCTTCGACATCCACGGCCACGTGCCAGGAAAGGCGGCAGCCCTGGTGGCTGCACCCGCATCTGTGCTCCAGGGCAGATCCCCCATCCTCCCCCAACTGAATGCAGCTCAGGGCTCTAGGGAGCTGGGCCAGCACAGGCTCAGCCTTGGAGCAGCGAGCCTGCCCCAGCTGCTGCAGTAGCCAGCGCCCTGCTGCCCTACAACCCTCCGCCTGATGCTGCAAGGCCCCAGGTGCTGGCCCTAGGCAGCCGGTGCTGGCCCTAGGCAGCCGGCTCTGGCTGTTGGGTTTTAGCTCACTGGCTCCTACTGTGCTGCTCTAAGTCCTGTCCCACTCACAGACCTACCTCCAGCTTGGTCTGCATGGCCCATCCATGGCACCACTCAGCACCTCGCTCTGCTCCTGTCCCGCCCTGCCAGGCAGAGTCTCTCCTGCTTGGGGCACAGAGATGCCAGGCCAGGCTGTAGCAGATCCTGGCGGGGGCACATCTACACCAGTGCCCTTCTCTGCCTCTGCACGACTCAGCACTGGGTTCCCCGGGGTTGGGACCAGGCAGGGCATGGGGTGTCTGCACTGGCAGCTGGTGACACACAGCCCCTGTGGCTCATTGCAGGTGAGCGAGGATTGGAAGTACGTGGCCATGGTGATCGATCGCCTCTTCCTGTGGATCTTCGTCTTTGTCTGTGTCTTTGGCACCATCGGCATGTTCCTGCAGCCGCTGCCGGCAGCCTGTGTCCCAAAACTCCGCCTCCCACTCCCTGCTGCAGCTGGCCCAGGGCACGCCCAGTGCCAAATAGTGTCCTTCCTGCCCGCCCCCCTGAGACCGTCCCAGCTGAGCACCAAGGGGCCAAGAACAGCGCTCAGGGTGAAGCAGATGGGCCACATGGGGTGCACTGGGCAGGGTCTCCATGGGGCCTGGCTGCTGCTTCCAGCCCTCCCCATGCACCCCCGTGCATCCCAGCTCATGCTGCTTCCAGGGAGGGCCACTGCAGCCACGAGGGCAGAAGGGGAGGCGAGGGGCTAGGCCCTGCTCTGCACAGCTCCAGCCTGGGGGTGGGTGGGTGCAGAGTCAGCCTCACCCTTGCCCAGGCAGAGGGACCTCACCACCACCTGCAGGGACAGATGGACTGACACAGAGGACTTTGTTCCTGCCCCTGCTGGGACCACAGGGATAGCTAGTGCCTCCCTGGCACATGCTGGTGCCACTCATTTCAGCTCAGCCCCAGGCCACGAACACCGCTAGGTGCTCTCCACCCTGCACTGCAGAGCTGAGGGGCAGGGGGCTCTGCCGTTAGTGCCCCCATGCCCGCAGGCACAATGGCCCTGGCCTAGACCCAGCCAGGCCAGAGGCTCGGGAGGGGGCGGGCTTAGGGGGCGCCAAAGCCTGAGGAGGCGGCACTGTGATGTCTGGCCTAAGGGCGCAGCCGCTGCTTCAAGCGTCACCGCAAACCAATAAACACTTGCACAGACCACAGCTGGTGCCTGCCTCCTTCCTTTCCTGGGGCAGACAGCAGAGATGGGTGCAGTCCGAGGGGAGCACAGCAAGTTGCACCCAGCCTGCAGGCGAGACCTAGGGAGGGTGGGGAACAGTGGGTGTGTGAGGGAAGGTGCAGACTGCCCCAGCTGCACAATTGGAAACAAGCCTGGGTGGACCCCAGGCAGGCCTGGCCCCACAGAGCTGTGGAGCTGCAGCAGGCCTCTGCCTAGCCTAGCCCTGCCCCTGGGCATCGTAGCACACCCTGCACCCAGCTCCGAGTGGGCAAGGCACATGCATCACCAGTCCTACCAGCCAGGAGCCCTGGCCAAGCCTGCTGCGCACGGCTGCCCAGCTCCATGCTGGTTTTGCTGCGGCCATTTCAGGGTTGCTTCCCCACACACCCAACACCCCCCATGCGTGACAGCAGAGACCAAGGCTTGGATGCCTTGGAGCTGTCAAGGCCAGGCTGGCATGTAGCTGGGGGCCTGGCTGCTGGAACCCTGCTCCCACCCCACCAGACAGAAGGGGACCTGCAGGCCAAGCCAACTAACAAGACCAAAAAGGTTTATTTCTGTGGAATGTGGCGGCCCTCACCGGCCAGGCGCTCACAAGCAACGTACAAAAAAAATTGAGGGTGAGGCAGCCTCCTAGGGGGCTGATGTATGGGGCCTCTCTCTCACTCCAGGCTCGGCGCAGTGCGAGGAAAGCCAGCCCTAGGGCAAGGGGCAGCTGGTGGTGGTGGTGTGGGGGGGGGTTATGCAAGAGCTGCTCCCAAAGGACAGGTGCTTGCTCACTCTTCAGCACCAGAACTATGATGGGCAACAGCTGGGAGCAGGGAGGAAGAACCAGAAACGTCCAAATGGAGCAGACAGGCCTGGCTTTGTGCCCCTCCTTCCTGGGACAGCTGAGGAGCCTGGTCTGGCACCAGAGCTCCCTGTCCTGTCACAGCAGGGAGGGGCTGGTTGGGAGGTGACCAGGGTGCTGGTGCCTGGCAGAGGTAGCAGCACATGCAGGCAGCCCCAGTCTGTCCCCGAGTGGCTGGGGCCACAAACCCCCGTGGTCCCTGTACCCCCAGCCTCCAGTGTCCCGACAAAGGCCTGTTGGTGCCCCTGGGCTACCACCCGCCCAGCTCCATGAAAGGGCCCACGGGGGCATCTGAGGCTTACACACAGCCCTGAACCTCGCTGGCTTCTAGGTCTTTTTTTTTTTTTTTTTTTTAAAAACAGGGAAGCATAAAAGCAGAGAGGATGTGGCCCAGCTTAACTAAAACCACGCGCACAACGGCTGACAGGAAAGGGCCAGTCTCCAAGACCCCGGCGCCAGCTCCAGTGAGGAAGCTGCTCCGGCATCCACAGAGCCAGCCAGAGGGGATGCCTAGGGCAGGGGAGGCACCACCAGGTTGACAGAGACAAAACCTGTCCCTTGGCAGCCAAGGGGAGCCCCCCGCCTGCCTGCCCTACAAGGGAAAGGAGATTAGAACTGCCACTGGCAGGACCTCCACCTGCAACTAATCTGAGCCACCCCTGGGGTCACTGCAGGTCCTGACAGCAGGTGCAGAGGTTAAGCAGCAGCTGCCAGGGCAGAGCGCCTCCTCTTCCACCCACCCCACCCCAGCCTGTGCAGCTAGCAGGCCTACGGGGAATTAAGTGCCCCAGAGTCCTGCCAACTGCCCCAGGACCCAGCATGCGAACTGCCAGGAATGCTGCCAGGGCAGGGGTGGGAGCTGGACGAGGCTCCTGCTAGAAGGATGGAGACAATGAGTGACGAGGCGAGAACCAAGTGCCCCCACACGCACATGGACTCTCACACCAGTGCCTGCGCCAAGGCCATGCTGAGCGTCCATCTGGAGAAGGAATCAGAACGGGCGCAGCAAGGCAAGGCCCTCCCCGCTGAGCCGGGCCATGCCAGGCTGAGCAGAGGGGGCATGGGGATGGCCATGGCCCCCTCAACATTCCTGGCTCCCGTCACAAAATGAGAAGGGAAGGAGCAGGCGGCTGCAGGGCAGCGCTATGCCTCGCTGAGGGAGAAGCTATCCTCCTCCTTGGGCTTGCGGATCCAGCTGCCATAGCCCATCTCCTCCAGTGCCTGAAAGAAGCGCTGCTTCGCACCCTGGTAGGCTGAGGCCGCCTCCTTGGCGTCCGAGTACAGTGTGAAAGCCTGCAGGTCCTGGCGGCTCCTCATGGCACAAAGCTGCTGGAACAGGTTGAACATGCGCCGCTTGGACACGCGGGACACCTCCAGCTTTGGTCTGGGAGGAGGGAACATGGGTGAGAAACGCAGCCCCTGAAGGAAGCAGCTACTTGGGCCTCAAGCGGGAGCCAGCATGTTGGAATTACCCTCCAGCTGGGGCAGGGGCTGCATGACTCAAAGGAGATGCCAGGACAGCCCAGGAGTCCCCATTCCCCACCACACCAGGTCAGTGGAGGCCTTCTGCTATAGGCAAGTTATATTCTGCCAAGCTCCCAATACAAGGCCCCCTTGCTGGTACCTGAAGTAGTTGCAAAAGGCAGCCACGCTTCCTAGGAAAAGTCCTCCTGCAAGTTTCTCCCCATAGCACTTCTGCTTGAGGGGATGGGGGGCCAGAGCAATGACCTGGGAGGGCTCTACCATGAGCAGCAGCTCCAGTCACGCAGGCCTGGCTGGAGTCTGTGGCGCTGACGTGAGGTTGGAGGGTTCTGGCTGCTGAGGCTGGAAACACAACTTGGGGACTGAGAAGTCACCGAAAGGCCTGCTGCACAGGGCACTGGCCAAGCCCGGATGACAGGGGCAAACAGACTGCCTCAGAGGCCGCAAGCAGCAGCCTGGCCCCAGGTCTGAGTGGGGCAAATTGCCTATTTATCCCAGCTGGGGATTCTCCTCTCTTGTGGCCTCCTGTGCCTCAGGACACTGCAGAGGGAGAAGGCAACTCCCAGCCAGTCAGGAGCAGCTCCTCTTACCCATCCACTTTGCCCTTGGTCCCATCCAGGACTTCCACCTCACTGTGATCAGCCAGACACCAATTCACACTGGACTCCTTGGTCTTGCCCGTCTGCCTGGCGGAGTCATACACGCTGACTCTCCCCACCTGGGCAGCCGGAGAGAGAGACAGGAGAGAGCTCAGGTCGGCTTCAGCCGGGGGTACAGGCATGGCTGGGTGGGCACACTCCAGATGGGACGTGAGGTGCCTTGTGGCTCAAGGGGCCCAGCCCAGCTTGCATTCCCACTGCCCCCAAGCACAGTGCTTCTCGTGCTTTTCTTTGGGCTATGCTGTGCTCAGCCTGCTCCTAGCTCCCTCCCCTTCCCCTCCTTGGGGTAGGTGGGTCACTGCTGCCTGCTCAGAATTGCGGGACCGCAGACTGTGCAGGAGACACTCAGCCCTCCCAGGCGCCACGGGAATGGGGAGGGAAATGGCACTATCAGGCAATGAAGCAACTGCTGGCACCTGACCAGGCACAGCACCAGGGAAAGGCTGAGGCAACACAGAAGCACCAACAGCCTCTCTGCCCAGCCCCTGCCACTGCTTCAGAATGGCTCCAGAAGGGAGTTTAAATGTCCCTCTACGCTGGTCAGCACCAGGCTTGCTGGCTGCACAGCCAATACACTTTGGAGCCTCCCAGAAGCGACACCTGTGTGGGGCACCTCGGCAGACACCCAGGCCTGGGCACAACAGCATGGACAGAAACGCGGCTAAGTACAGGGTACCTCAGGGTGTTCCACATGGTACGGCGCCGGGAGGCCTGCCTCGATCGTGCTCCCGTCTCGCGTCAGGCGGCAGCAGATTGCGCGTGTCAAGTGCCCCTGGCTGTACAGGTAACCTGGGGAGAAAGCCAGACAGGTGTCAGGGTGCAGGACGGCTGCGCTGTGAACAGGCAGGTGGGAACCTGAAGAGGGCGGCACTCTCTGCTTGAGACGGGGCAGTGATTTCCTCCATGCCAAGAGCTCCCTCAGACATGAAAGGACTGGGGTTACCTACTGCACCTTCACAGATGCATCACTCCCACTCCCCCTGCACACCTTGCAGGAAAAGCCCTCTGTTCTCACTGGTTAGGACTCCACGAGCCCCATCTGCATCCGAACTGCATGGCTCTGCAGGGGCTGACACGCTAGCCCTGTGGCTCCCACAGCCCCAGCCCCAAGTCCCTTTTCATCCCTGCAGAGAGGATCCAATCCACTCCCCAAGCCTGCCAGCACGGCCCCCACAGTGTGGCTGTGGGTCTTGTACCAAGTGTGACGGAGCGGAGGTAGACAGGCTGCATGAAGTGCGAAAGCAGCGCCCCTTGCAGACCCAGCACATTCCAACGCAGGATTTTGTCGCTGCAGGACATGGTGCGCAGCCGCTCCCCGTGCTGGATCCCGTCCCACGTCGGCACGATGTCGCTTGAACCCACAGGGATGGTGCCTTCCCCTGGGAAAGCGAAACGGAGCTAGTGGGCAGAGTCGGGCATGCCACTGGTTCAAACTCCCCTCCCTGCTGGGCATAGGCCTCAAGCTCAGGGTGAGTGACCCGCAGGCCCCTCAAAGCATGCATTATCTGCATGGATCAAAGAAGAGTCCTTCAGGGCTGAGCCCTGTCCCTGGACTCCCACATGGAGGAGAGCAGGAACTGTGGACAGATGGGAGGCAGGTGATTTTTCACATGGCTGAAGCAGAATTGAATTACTCTTAGAAAGGAGGTCAGAGCCATGGGAACCAGGCCAGGAGGCAGGCAGAGCTCTGGAACAGCAGCCTTGCTCTTCACCCTCTGGTGTCTCCCAGGCCCTTCCATGCCACCCTCAGGCTCCAGAAGGTGCCAGCATGAATGGGCAGTGGGCAGGCCAGACAACGCTGCCTCCTAGGTCTAGCCACGAGGGAACTCAAGCTCGTGGGGAAACCCACCACTAGATACCTCCCTGCCAGCTCCCCTTGGATGTGGATCCCTGCCCCTGTAGCCTGCTGCACCGGAGCTCTGACACAGGGAGAGAATGCTGGAGCTCACACCCTGATCCCTTCCTGGCTGGGCCAGCAGGCACCCCCCAGCCTATGTGACCAAAACATTTTACCATGGA